AAGACATAATGAATATAGAAGTGAATAGAAACAGATATAATGGTTTGATTCTATTAGATTGAAAGAATCTAAGGTTTTATATGACTTTCTATAGATTTGAACTTTCAAATCACTCAAAATAAGTCTTTTCCATTTCGAGACTTTTATTAGGTCTAGATATTCATATCCAATTATCTTTTGATTCTTTATTCTTTTTTGATTCTTTTAAAAAGTATATGAAACAGCACGAAAAACTGTATATGAATCTGAGTCACGATTATCTATACAAAAGGTAGAAAGTGATTGATAGTCATCCAAATAAAGTGATGGTGTCTTGCCGAGGGCAAAATCAGGGGGGTGAATTTCAAAATCATCGTATTATATTCCCGATTTTGATGTCAGCACAGTATCAATGGCTTTCAAAACAATAAGCTTGAATGCAAGAGATGCTTGGATATGCCTTTATAGAGGTTCAGTTGGTAGGGGCTAGGATTAGAGGTAAGACACCCTAGTTGGCCTCAAAATATGACGATATTTATGATCAACCTGGATTATAAGGTATTAACTCTTTATTAGCGTATGGTTTTTTCTTACCAAAATATAAACTTTTCTATTATAAAATAATACCTTCCTAACCAGTTAATATGGTAGATAGTTTCTGCTATTCCAGTAGGCTCGAGCATGCCGATGCCAGATTTTGTACCCATATTTACCCATTTTTCGAGTGTGCGAGCGGGCATATCGGGGGCGGCATAGGCGGGATGAGGTGCGGTGTGAGCTTTGCTGTGGCCTTCGAAGTTGGCTTTTACACCGGAGAGTTCGATCATGCAGAAATTGACTGGTGGAGTGGGGTGAGATTAGTAAACTACTCGATGTAAGTTTGCCAACTAGGAGAAGATGAAAAGTCTGGACGAGAGAAAAGCATGAGATAGATTATTCCAATCAGGATGCATCTCGCGTGCTACAGATTCAGTCCAGCCTTCCACTGCATATTTACCAGCGTGGTAGTAAGCATTACCAGGAAATGAACATAACCCAGCAAGCGAAGTAATCTGGTAAATCACCCCTCCTCGATGTTCTTTACGCTGGCGCATGACTTCCACCGCTTTCATTGTCACTCTCGCAGTGCCAAAAAATAAAGTCTCGATTTCTAAATGCGCTTCTTCCTCGGTTGCGCATTCAGTGTCTCCAGAGAGGGAATAGCCAGCATTGTTGACAACAATGTCGAGATGGAAGGAGTCACCAAAATGCCTAGAGGCGGTAGCAAAGGCCTCGTTGACGGAAGTAGTGGAGGTTACGTCGAGAGCGAGCTTGAGAATATTGGGGTTAGTATCGGGGAGATAAGAAAGGTCGGAGCGGTTGCGAGCTGTGGCAATGAAACGCTGATCAGGTTTACTGGCAACTAATTCCGAGATGGCGCGACCAATGCCAGATGAGCAGCCGGTAACTTATGGGGTAAAGGATTAGTCGTTTGCTCGAATTAGATTTGGGAATAAGGAGAGAATCGCACTCAGCCAGGTCGCATCGGCGGGTAGGTTGTAAGGTTTGGTATTGACTACATTCATCTTGACACAGCTTTAGGCGTTTGAAATATTTTCTAGTTGTTCGACAGGTATGATGCTTTTTATTTTACTGAATGTGTTGTATGCTCATTTCTTATATTCACCCTCTTTGTCACCCTTGCTTCGTTTGGATATGCAATATATATAGATCAATAGAACTGAGTTTTACGTTTAAGTCAAAGCTCAACAAACCCCTATCATGATCTTCGCTTCGCGCTCAGCTCAATTAGTTTCCCCGATCCAGAGTGGGTTGAGATAGATCGTTTTCTCTGGCACGGAGGGGGTGAGTCATTCGGCAGGGCTTGAAGGATGCATTACAGTGGTGCAATTATCTAGATGCTGCGCTTAGTGGTCTCGTGATTTGTATTGAAACCTCGCCAATCATTTATGCTTCAAAGCTCGTCTACATGTCTTGTGTCGTGAATAAGAGCGATATCAAGTGTTTCAACAGGCTATTGGTGAATTGATAGTGCTAGATTTCTAAAAGGATCATTTCGCATGATCAGCATTATAAATCGTGTTACAATGAGTTCACAGATATACATGCTAGACGATTAGTCGTTGAATGCTCAATCCAACTTTTAGGTATTGTCATGTTGACACAGTTATCAATGGAAGTTAGTCAGATACTCTCTAGAACACTCCATTAAAACTTGGTCAACACAGGTTTATCTCCATCAGAAGAGAGCCAGGAATTAGGATATCATTGACTGAGTAGCCGATATTCACCTGATCCTTCCTACTAAGCAATATTGCAATACAATATTCGAGTACGAGTTTCATTCTCTCCTCATCCATATCACGAATTTACAAAGACATTGTTGCGAGTAAGCCAGTGTCCAGTGTACGCAATTTCATTCCTAAATATCTTTCTATCCTCTCCACATTTTCAATTACCACTGCAACTGCATCTCAAACAGAATCTCCTCAAAGCAGCCATACCAGACGCTGAAATTTATACCCCCTCCTCCGCCCCCCTACCTTCACAAGAATCAAACCACAGAAAAATAATCCAAAATCATCCCCAAATCACCAACCATGAATCTCCACACGCCCTTCCCATCAATTCCCACACACAAAGCCACTACAACAAAACCCAAATCTCAAGTTCTTAAAAATGCAGCTTCCCAGTCTCCTCAGGCACAACCCCAGTAACAATAAAAGTCCTACTCCCAAATGTCATCATCTCAGTCTTGAACTCGAAACTCTTACTATTACTCTCGTGCGTACCAGTAAAGATGGGTTTTTAGCGAGTGAACACCAGTCCAGACGCCTCGCCTTTGCATGGCTACTTTTATGTGTTTTCGAAACATCACCAGTAGGTTTTGGTTCCTTCTGGGACTCGATACCAGTGCCAGATGGACGATAGTGGTGAAGTTCGGTCTTGCCACCTGTGGGATGAATGGTGAAATTAGACTTCTCGTCGGTGCAGGTGGGGATAGGTTCCTTAGGGTCGAAGGAACCGGTAGGATGGATCTTGAAAGAGTGATCGATGGATCCGCTGGCGTGGACAACATCGGAGGTAAGGGCGATAGGGGAGGCGGAGATCATGGAGATGAGAAGAGCGACGGTTGCGCCGGAAATCTTGGAAAATTGAATGATGATAGATATCTATCTGCGTGACTATCGAGTGCAGAAGATGACTTATTTGACTATATTGGAATGGAACGGAAATGCTTTGCTCTGAATGAAATCAAGGCAAGGACCGGCCGAGGTCTGAAACGAAGAAGCAAATTATAAAGGGTGTGAAAACGAAAAACGTGAAAGATAAAAAGCGATATTTAATACAGTTTTTGAACTGATGATGGAGAAAAGATACGTTCAATAGATGATCTTGGCATATATATATACTTGGCACGCGAAAGGAAAGGAGTCTAGACTTGTCCTATACTTGCAGCTAGCCACTCATCCTCATCTCTTTCATTCAGCAACCTTTGCATCCTTCCTCATTTGCGCCATCAGTATCATTATCATGAAATATTCATTTCTGGGGAAGCCACTCGATGCTTTCCATAAGCTCGTCAGATACGACTATCTGATTATCGAAATCAAGAAAAAGTCGGAAGGTAGGTAGTATCAGAGTAATGATTAATGTATACTCGAGTATAAAAAGAATTGTTTCCTCCAAGCATAAGAACCCAACCTTACACAAATCGATCTCCAGAACTCATGAAATCCAACCCGTCAAACCTCGAAAATATGAACAAACGTAAAATACCACATGTAGAGGGTCCAGAATCCAGACGAATATATCCAGAAACAGTAACACATAAGATCAGGGGTAATCACCCCAATAAAGCGATATAAATAAATCCTTCCACCACCGCACTCGAAACACCCCCCAACCACATACTTGAGGGTCTAACAACCCCCAATCTCCAAAATACCACAAATCTTCTCACATAGAAAAACAGTACTCCATACAGACAACATAGCATAACCCAATCGTGACCTCAGGACCTCAGGCTCAACACAGCCTACCCAAAGAAAGAAACGAACACCAGTAAAGACCCTAAGAACGTACCAGTACCGTACCAAGCTTTGCGGGAGGAGGATCTAAAAAATGCTTATTTAACAATCAACGAAATTGATGGTTGCGCGTCTTTCTGACAGACAACTGGGTTTTCGACTGTACTCTATCAATACCTACCTATAGTAAGCTCGGTGAGATTGTGTTGTACATGCAGAGGATTTGACGCGTTGATTGGGGTTTTTTGTTTCAAGAATCATTAGCCTGATGCTGGGGCTTGTGGGAATATAGGCGTTGAGTAGGGAGGGGGTGTATAGCGCTGTCATTTGGATGCTGATATGCTGATATGCTGTACAATAAAATAATAAATAAATTCCGCTGTTCTCACACTATAGCACAGCACGACTTGAAACGGTCATGGTGTCACGTTTTTTTGATACTTGTTAGCTCTTTCCACGACATGAATTGATATGTCAGTATAATGCGACGAAGGGAAAGATATCTGGCATAAAGGTAGATGAGTTAATCCTCCTTGGATTTCAATATGAAAACGAATCATCCGAAGACGGCACATTAAGAAAGTCCCCAAGTCCTCGCGGCGAACTATTTCTGTACTGTGGGACAGTGTGAGGTTGAGGGTTGATAATTATTTGGAGGTTTGAGATGAGAACCATTAGTATTTCTAGATGATGTTGGACATGGTGGGTTCGAAATTTGGAGGCTTGAGATGAGTTACGTTAGTATATTTGGATTTGGGGCTTTGAGATGAATACTATCGGTAGGTATAAATGTAAATCTCAATGATTGAAACAAATTGAGACTACAACTCAAAGTAATATTCAATCCGTATCATTGAATCCGAACCAATGAGCAACTCGAGATAAAGTTGTCATCTCTAGATTCAGATTCCTGAAAGGCTTGCAGGTAAGACCGATCATACTTGACCGGGATGAGAAGAAAACTATTGGAATTCGCTCTGCTACTTAATTGGTATCTCCTTTGCTCGCGCATCAGGCTACAAAGCCACGAATGTCTCATCTGCACCAGCAGGCCACAAATACTAAAATGCAATATACTATCAATCCCTATTCCTATCATATCCCGCACCATGCTACCCTATCCTATCCTATCCTATCATCACGCCAATAAATCCCAATTCAAAAGATGCATCAATAAACACCCAGAATGCCCGTGGGCCTAGCCCAATAAGATGAATCAACTATCTTAACCTCTTGAACCAATCAAAGTCGAAATCGCTAAATGCATCTTTATCATATATCTTATCTCCAGTCCACACATCTTTGGATACCAGTCCAATCTAATCCCCATATGCTGGCTCCGCTGGGTTGCCAATTGCGGTTGATCCAAAATGCCAAGCCACCAATGATCCCAAAACTGCTCACTACTTGCAGTGCGATAATACCCCGTCGTTTCAGATCTTCATTGAGTTCCAGAATTCCAAGGGGATCATGCGTGTTCAAGATTGGGCCAGAAGGTGCTGTTCGAGAATATGATCCACGCTTGACTAAGTCTCCAGCACCGGACGATCGTTGAGGTCGGCGTGCCTGAGAGATTGGGACGAGTGTACCATCCTGTACGCACTCTCCGAGTCTTTCTGTTAGCCATACTGCCCTCTCACTTCGAGCCAAGACTTCGAATCTAGCTCGCTCATTCTGAAGACTCCTTTGTAAGTCAGTGGCCCATTTTGAAAGTCGCACTTGTGCAAGCCTCTCTTCACGTTGAGTATGGTCTGTTATACGAGCCAACGCATAAGATGTTGTGGCACCAACAGGCGCAGTAAGTACTTGTGAGGTGGATGACGACATCAATGATTGTGCCAGAGGTCGATAAAGACTTTGTGGCTTTTGCACCGAAGAACCATTTCGCCATTGTACAAATTTCTTCGCTGCAGAATTCCGTAGCCATGCTATGCTATCTGGCTCGAACAATTGATCAACAAGAGCTGTAAGTTCGGACTGAACCAATGGTTGGATATAGTCTGAGCTCATGAGAAGGCTAGCATCCATAGTTTCATGATCCTTCGACAACATAGTGGATATGGCATAAGGTGCAGCTGGCTGGGAGGAATGTAGAGCATCATCGAAGGACAACCCGAACAGAAATGGTCGTATACTGGCAGCTTGAAGCTCACTCAATACATGTCTTTTTACCTTGGCAAGGTCCTCAAGAGACAAAACTTCGGATCGTGCTATTAAAGGGATAACGTTTGTCATGGGGGATATGCGCCGTAGATATTCAATATCAACAGGCTTGATTCCTACATACAGATTAGTTGTTTTCTAACATGATTGCGTAGACACTTACGATTTATGATGATGTAGAACACGACATCCACTTGAGAACCGCCATTTCCACCAAGCAAATGTATCATGTCAGAATCGGTCATCCCATCTTTAGATTCGACCTTTTGAAACTGAGACTCGATATAATCAACAACTGGAGAGATGGCTTCGAGGCACTAGAAAAATTAGCTAATAGTAAGACCTTCATAGTGAAGCGAAGCTCACAGAAGTCTTGTTGCCATAACCGGGGGTATCAACAAAGCACAGATTTCTTTCGAGGACCGAGTCACCTATACTCTTTCTTCGACGCAGGATCTTGCTTTCGTCAACCTCTGACCACCAACTAGGATATGCCTTAGTGCTAGCATATATCTCTGTGATTTGAGTTGTAGTTTGCGCATCACCTCCGGATCTGGCCTGTTTTCTGGAATCTCGCCTTTTGTCGGGGACCGGGGCTGGTGTAGTAGATAAGGGATCAACATGTACGATGTCTTCGCATACTTGTACGATAGCTTTGATTAAAGAAGTCTTGCCCACGCCTACAATATATCAGAAAACCGATTTGCTATAGAATAAGGTGTACTTGCCTGAATCTCCAGCAATTAGTACTTTTAGCCTTCCCATGTTCTTGCCCTTCTCGGTAAATGGCCGTCTACTAGGCATTTTGATACTCGGCATAACCAGTTGAGGGGCAGAGCCACTATCCATCATCGCCGGTACATTTTGTTCGTCTTCTCCACCCGATAGGATAGCCTGGCTTGATATTTCATCATTCAATGATTCTGAGTCCGAACCCCTCGAATCAGGGCTGCTAATAATAGAGCCTGGAGCAGCGGAATATAAAGACATAGGAGTATAAGGTCTGGAAGCTTCGGTAGTGGAAGGACGAGTCGGAGAAGTAGTTCCACTTATATCGTAGGAGGGTTTTGGAGAACGAGACCTCAAATCTCCTACAGATTGTAATTTCTCTGCAAGATTTTTCTTGAATTTCTCCCTAGCTCTATCGAATTTTCCATCCTCATCACCACTGCCTTCAGATAAAGAGTTAATCGTAGTTTCAATGCTCTCTACACCGTATGTACTATTCTTCATGAAATCTCTTGGTTTTAAAGGAACACGAATAGGTTGGGCCTCTCCGGAGTCTAACGTTCTCTCATCTGCAAGAAAGTAGCTCATCTGCTGAGGTTGTGTCCTATTTGCGAGTGGTGTCAGGTCATTATCGTTGATACTCGTACTCCGAGATCTCCCTGGATAAGCATCGTCGCCTGGTAAAGGGCGCATCTTGATTGTTGATAAGGGATTGTTTATGGGGAATGCGGGGAAGTGGGTTTATATCATGCTTTAGATGTTCTTGTATATGGTAATAATTTATCTAATATGAAGATATTCAAGGACTCTCTTTATTGGGAATTGAAGTTGTTCTTGTAACACGGGTTACTTAGGTATGTAACATGTACCCCGCCGCGTGATATGGGATGTCCTGATTCATTGAAGCCATAGCGCAATTATTAGCGGTGAAACTTATCTCCGAATCTTAAATATCGGCATTATTAGGTGCTCATATGCGATAAAGAGTATACAAATTAGTTGAATCTAGCTCTATACTCGAGTAGATATTTTATACATAAGGAAAAGTCTTATTCTCCATAGGAATAGTTCCTTCTATAGAATATCTAAGGAAATCTCTTATATAAAATAAGGAAACCGGTTATATATTATTATTAATAGATGGCGATTTCGTGATACATTTAAGCGCCAAAGATAATTAAAGGCTAAGCCATACTTGGTTACTTTACTTCCTAATCATTCTCGCTTTTGTATCACATCAAATCTCTCGAGCGAATTAATCTCTACTACCACAATTTGCTCCATCTTTCTTCCTGCTGGGAAAGATCTCCAATTTTATTACTACAGGTATTACATCAAAACGGCTTCCCACGAGTCGAAAGACGCGTTATTTATTCTAGAGCAACTTTGCACCCCCGCCTCCATCTTGTTCGATCCACGATATCTGTCTCACAGAAGATTTTCGATATCCCATTCTTATACATTTCCTCCATCTCCAACTGCGCAGCGACTTCCCCATTCTCTGCCAAGTTCCATCAGCCTCCAAGATCTCGATACCGAACACAGTACAAACGAAATGGACAATAAGCGTCACCCCAGTTCGTTCCAGCAGCTGGAGAAGCTAGGAGAGGGTACATATGCCACTGTGAGTACACGAAGAGTCCCGAAATCTGCACGGCAGCATGCTGTTTTCAATGTTCCATTTCAACATAGACTATCTATGTGGCACATTTGTGTATGCTTATCAATACTGACTTATATAAGGTTTTTAAAGGTAGAAATAGACAAACTGGTGAACTTGTTGCTCTAAAAGAGATCCACCTTGATTCCGAAGAAGGCACACCATCAACTGCGATCAGAGAAATCTCGTTGATGAAAGAGTTGAAGCACGAGAATATTGTTAGCTTACACGATGTCATACATACTGAGAACAAGCTCATGCTGGTCTTTGAACATATGGACAAGGATTTGAAGAAATACATGGATACATCAGGAGACAGAGGAGCTTTACCACCCCCTACGATTAAATCATTCATGCACCAGCTTCTCAAGGGAATCGATTTCTGCCATCAAAATCGAGTCCTCCACAGGGATCTTAAGCCTCAGAATCTTCTCATCAACATGAAGGGCCAGCTCAAACTTGCAGATTTTGGTCTTGCGCGTGCATTTGGTATTCCTGTCAATACTTTTTCCAACGAGGTTGTCACTCTATGGTACAGGGCACCAGATGTCCTCCTTGGAAGTCGAACCTACAATACCAGTATCGACATATGGTCTGCGGGATGCATCATGGCAGAAATGTATACCGGTCGTCCCTTGTTCCCTGGTACAACTAATGAGGACCAACTGGTACGAATTTTCCGGATCATGGGTACACCATCTGAGCGAACATGGCCTGGCATATCTCAATTTACCGAGTACAAGACAAACTTTCAAATGTATGCAACTCAAGACCTACGGGTCATCTTGCCTCAAATTGATCCTATTGGAATCGACCTTCTTCAAAGAATGTTGCAAGTAAGGCCAGAATTGCGAATCAGCGCACACGATGCTTTGAGCCACCCATGGTTCAATGACCTACCAGGAGCAATGAGACGTCCACAAGTACAACAAGGTCAGATGCCGATGCAGAGAGGATATGCGCCACAAGAGGTTTTAGGTCAGGGAGGTTACCAACAGTATTAATGGATTTGTTTTTGGCATTGCGGACTTATGATACCTCTATCATCAGGGAACGGCGTTAAGACGGGATGGCATGGAGAGAGATTTGGTTGCGTGCGTTTGATAGCTGGTTATGATCCATGATAATGAATTTCTTTGCTTTTGAGTGCATGCTATATCTGCTCTCTAATGTACCCAATCCAATCTTTTGTGAAATACAATTCGGATCATCATACTCCATCCAACCTTGTGCTCGGAACCTCTGATTTCGACCATATGTTGCATATCTAAAGTTTGGGCTATGCAATTATTGCCACTACAACTTGCTTGGCAACTTGGGCATATAAGCTTAAGATTTACATAACTTGAGTTTATTTCATAAAACGGAATAACATATACGAGTAATGAGACAAATACCACTGGTAATCTACCCTCGAAAGGAAACAAACATATTGGACCAGAATCCTCTATTTATATACCTACTTTCGTACATTCGTATATTCGTACATTCGTATATCCATCCCTTGAGGGAAAAGATAATTACGATATATTGAGTTTCTGGGTATAAATCATTGAGAGGAAAGCTGGGAGCTTACTGGGCAAGTATTGTATGTTAGGTAGTTATATGGTTCGCATACTTGAGTACTGTCCTGTGATATTTGTTCATCATCCCATCCATAAAACAATTATAATCCGATAAGATACACCAAAACAGGTACTGTTCGAGCAGGTTTCGTGTTCTTTGAACGATCGAATACCTCTCTAAATACCTAGATTTTGTCTTGGATTTCATCGTTTGGCATACGAGTATAGTGAGTGGCGTATCATCCGATCTCTGGGCAACCTACCTTTCCTAGCCAAAAAAGAAAAAAAAAGAAAAAAATATCCAAAGACATACAACAGCAGGGATTCGCTGGTGGTCACCCACCCAACTACTAATCTGCCGATCTAAGGCTTGTGTATGGCAGAGCGGACGGGATGCCCAATTCTCCTTAGTCTATGGTCGTATGTGGAAGATTTAAAGGATTGGGAGAATATATATTGTAGTTAAAATAGGGGAGCTTAACAAAAATCACATGATCTCGGGTAAGCACGCTAGAGATAAGAGCGAGTGGTTTCCAAGCCAACCTTCCTACTATCAATACCTCCCTCAATATCATTATTGTTTCCATTCAACATCTTTTTGTAAACTCTTCCACTTTATCAGGAATTACAGAACATCATTATAATTGTCGTTCTCTCACAAACCTCAGCTTGCCCACTTCTACAATATATCCCATCTCCGCCTACACAAGTATCAAAACTCGTGATGCTGCGACGTTGTATCCTGATCCCCCTCCCGACCATTACCAGTTTCTCATAGCAACACCCAATTCGCAGAAGTATCGAATATTTTTCCGACATCCAGCATATCCGCCTGGTGATAACATAATCTTCATTCTGCATGCTTTGGATCACGCTGATGGCGGAATCCATCATGGCTTGGCACACTGTGCTTGTTCAATATTCGCAGATAATCGTATCGATGGTTATCTAAGTAGAACCTGTAATGACGAATATGGCGACCGCATTGATGCTGCTTGGGACGATATATTACCAGCCGGGGACGTAGACTATTATTTCTACGTCCCTTACCCTTCCGGTATATTGACAAACAACTTTTCCCCAGAATTAAATATAGTCTAATGATAGTTGCTGATTTTGTATTTGAATTCTCTAGAAACGCCATTGCCTCCTGCCAACACGTCCCGGAAGCCCTATCGATGGCCTATTGTGACAAACTTTCAGGACTGGCGATTTCCAAAGGTCATGCATGAGGTGTTTACTCGCCATGCAAAGTCCCAGGACGCCTTTTTTGTAGCTTCCCGCCAATTGAATTGGACAGAAGCAATAAGCAAGCGCGATGCGAAATGTCCAATTACAGCATTCATAAGTGGCACAGAAGCTGTGCACTTGGTTCCCGAACATGAGGAACAACGGTTTTTGTCGAATTCTATGGCAAGGTGGAACCACGAATTTAATTTGGAACCAGAACACTGGCTGAGAGACCTCAGCAATGGAGTCCTGTTACGATCCGACATGCAAATTGCTTTTGATTTCCGCCAATTCGTCTTCTTTCCCAAGGGCGACGAGGGCTTTGTTGTGCACATGCTAGGAGGGTACACCCCTGACATTGGTCAATTACACCATAACACCCGTGTTTGTATTCCCCACTGTTCTTTGGCGTTCTTGTATTCGAGGTTTGCGTGGTCTATAATTCCTTTCCTTACGGGGTTCTTGAGCAGACCAAGGAGCAGTCAACTCGTCGTTCGATCGAGAGATGATACGGGCGAGCGAGTAATAGAAGAGGTCACAAACACCTTTCTATTGCCAAGCACAGAAATTGCATCCCAAAGCACAAGCTCTAAAAGCCGATCCCGGGATTTCGCTGGACAGGATGATTCTGATATTGAACACAATCACCGCAAACGCCGCCGAATCTGTCGAGATTCCAGCTCTTCCCATTCTTCCGATTCTACTAAACCAAGTCTTGACTACAATCAACCGACATTTCGGGCTTCTGAGGTTGAAACTGCAAATAACATACATTCTCCCAATGGAGTTGAGACTAGGATACCTCCTCATCTAAGCCCGGAACAATTTCGTGTCGAAGAACTTCGACGGGAAGCACTAGAGCGTCAAAGGCCAGAAAATTACAACCCGCAACGACCACCGTATGACAGACATAGACCAGCGATAGAAGAATTGGAAATCATGGGTGTGGAAATCAGGGACGAGTTGGACGATGAAGATTTATGAGTAATGACAGGAGGTTGTGAATTCATTTTCATTTTTATCTTATTTTCAGTATAGGGTAGTAGGGGAGGCTCCCATGTATCCAGCTGCTCAATCACGCACTAAAGGTCAAATTAATATTCAATATACAAGAACCATCCATCAGCATCAGCATCCTTAATCTTCAAACCCCAACACCTGAACGTAACCCCCTACCTAACTCACCCTCCCCCCTTCCCCTTCTTCAAATCCTCCACCCGAATCTCCTTCCAAAACCTACTATAAACCAAAAAATTCACCCGATCCCTCTCCTCCATAACCTCCTGCCTCGCCATCGCCCTCCGCACCTCCTCCACCTCCCGCACAAAATTCATCGTGTGGCGCTTTTGAACTCCCATGCCCGCTTTGATCCGACCGTTATAGGTATTTATATTCGTATCCGTTTTACTTCTTTGTAATACCCCCACCCCTCTTTGTATCTCCAACACCCCTCTATTCATCTCCCCACCCATCCCAATACTGCTCTCTTCATCTAAAATTTTCTGTTTTCCCCCGTAATTTGAAGTCAAAGGTGGATCTGGGACTTGATTCTCTACCCTCACTTCCTCGGTAGAATCATCTGACTCTGTGTTTATGGACTCCGCGTACTGTGAATACCATTCCTCATTTCTATCATCGATATCCCCATCTCCATCCCCACCATTTTCCACCCTCAACCCAGCTCTCATATCCCCTTGATCTAACCCAGCACTTATATACCCCTTCATTCCCATTTCCCCTTGCGATTTCATCGCATTAATCCCTTTCTCATTCTCATTCTCCTCATCCTTATTTTTATTCCTATCCCCGTCCCCATCCCCATCCCCATCCCAGGCCCCATATTCCACCCTCGAAACAAAACTTTTCACATCCCCATCCATCTCCTCACCCAGCACACCTAGCCCCCCCACCCCCGAATCAAAAGACATCGACCTCGAGTATCTCGACGAGTACCCCGAACGCGACGTGAATCTTTTTTCCGACGGCCGGATATCCTTTGAAAAATAAGCGGGATCGGGGATCGTGGGTAGAGGGTTGATATTTATTGTACTATCACTATCGAATGAATTTTTAGCGTTCGATTGTGATTGTGATTGTGATAGGGATCCATGATGATGACGATAATCGCCACGTCTCCGCAACCGAGCAATTTTCTTCGAGAAAGTAACTTGTATGCGGGAGGAAAGCAGAAAGATGTCGGTGAGGGCTAGGAGGAGGAACAAGATGATTATGACGGCGATGATGATGCCGGTTACAGCGCCAGTGTCTAGAGCATGGTATGGGGATTCGACGAGGTGGGGGTGGAGATCGGGGAGAGCATTAGATGATGGTGAGATGATTGCGGCTGCTGTTGCGGGGAGCGGAAGGCTCGTGGAAGTAAAGATGGGAAGATTATTAGAAATACTGGACGTGGTCGTGCCATCATTACTCAAAGAGCGAGGAGTGCCGAAAGGACCCGCCTCACTTTGATCTTCGTCTCTCGTGTGCGTGTGCGTGTCCGTGTACGTGTATGTGTGTGTGGTGCTTTGGGAAGCGATTAAGGAATTATGCATATCTTTCGCGCCGCGAGAAGAAAAGGAAACAACATTAGAATAATTGGAGGTGCTGGCTGACCCATCAAGGGCGCTCTCACGCACGAAAGGAAGGAAAGAAGGAAAGAAGGAAGGAATGAAATATTACAGAAGAATGAAATACAAAAGTTGGGGAATCGATCAACAGACGACGACGGTAAAGTGCATCGGTCTACGATATACGTGCTCTTCTTACATCTTTCTTACCATATCCGTCTGTGCCAAGGCCTTGGAAAGCAAAAAAGAAAAATAGATACTCCTACCGGAAACACGAATTATAATGCACTCGCATTATTGGAAAATCTAATGTAAGAAGTCTTTAATGCGACTTCTGTATAGTAGTTTGTGATGGGACGAATATTCACCGGTCAAACACCAAACGGAATATAGCGTGAGAGAGATCAGATGGGTCTAAATTTGACAGATGGCTTTAATTCGTCTTCGGGATAATTAGCCATATGCATGAATATAAGAGATGTTCAACGGTTTGAAAAGAACCTTGCTCCTCAATAAACCATCGAACCCATCCATGCACCGGAATGCACAGACTCCGACTTATCCTTCTTATCGACAAATAGGAGGGATAGAAAAGATCCAGACGACTGTGCACTTATCATGCGATAAGTAATAACATCATGCCATTATAACGTTATACTTTGTTACTACGTCCGCGCGGAGTTTCGAAGCATTTGTTTTTTTTGGAGTTGAGACGGGTATGAAGTGTCGTTGGGAAAACTTTGCTTGGAAGGTTAGTCAATATTCACACACAAGAAGATCTAGACAGCCCTTCTCTTAAAATATCTACAATGACCATTCCAAAGTTCCATTGCGATGACATCACGCCAAAAATTGACAATGATCGAGGCACGTCTAACTATTCCGACAAAGGAGGCCGACGCGAATCAAACAATGATAGAAGCGAGCGACACGTCTCGAGTATGGATTCTGCGACAGATATGAACCGGAGCGAAGGCTCTTTTGTTAGCAGTAGAACAATCATGCAGCGAAAAATATCACAGAAGAATAAATTCTTCAAGCGCTATGGTATTGTACCGCACACAGCAAGGTACATATAGCAATATATAGATTGGAATGAGAATAGAATGCTGATAGTTTGCATCTAGTACCGAGAAGAACAAGCAGAACAGTATGACATGGCGACATCAACCAATGAATAAAAGTACTGCGTGGTTCAAGGGAATGAAGAAGAGCAAACCAGTGGACTGGCTGGTTACCTTGAAAAATTCCTCCATTGGAATAGTTCGATCTGGCCGTGATTCTTCTGACGAATACACCAAGATGTTGGAGCATGAGAATTCTCGCGGACCAGAGTAGAGACGAGTGTCTTAGAGCCAACGATATGGCTAGTAGAATTAGTTTCAGATTCGTTCAACCAACATTTGTTTGTACGCCGCGACCTAGCATCAAATATAACGCCACCAACGGAGTACAGAACGATGCCACGAATTTGTTTCGCGATACGAAATCCCAATATTTTTGTCAACTACTGCTTAGATACCCGGTTTTCGGAATTTCGTTTGTTTTGAAAAGATTTGCCGTCGGTTTGTTTTGTCCGAAAACTCTTGGGGAGGAACGTCGGACACATGGATCAGAAGAATAATAAATGCCTCAAGTAATGATAGTAATAAGATATAGGGAGTAAAACACTGTAATTTCAAAGCAAGTAATGCCCGAGTTTTGAGCCGTGCCGATGGTGCAACGTCTAATATTTCGTTGAGATGGGCGAGTCGTCTGTGTGACTGCTTGAGATTTATAGGTGGCTTTTCACTCATGTTGACAACTTCCACTCATTTTGACACTGTCGATGAAGGATCTTTGCGAAACATTTACTTCGCACCAATATCGTGCATGTGAAAGTGAACTCGACCACGTCATCTTCCATAGAAAACTACTTCGCGCACGATACTCGGACTTCTCCGCAAGATTTGAGCTATTTCTGTCAGCTAACACAACACTGTAGATCAAGTACAAGAAGTGTAACTCATTGTGCGCAGTTGTATTCGACGAAAACTCGTATAACTCTCCTTCCAACAATCAATCGACATTAAAGAGTCCAATACCACGGTATGTAATTACCACCACCACCTAAAATGATCGCAGATCCCCGTTGAAATTATATAATGGAAATCAAAAGGTCGTATGACACCTGCTTGATTCGATAAGAATTCATGCGTAGAGAGTGGGATAATTTCAAGTTTGACTTCTGGACCAGAAGTTCTGGTAATGTAAATCTGATTCGTGCCGTGAATTAAAACCAACAAAGAATAGTGCTAGGGTCCTAGCAGAGGAATTTCATTAGGGTCTGCTGGATGATCCGAAAGCGTGCACTTGCACAGAGTTAGGAGGGCCGATTGATTGTTGGTGGAGGTGGTGAAGCTTTGCTTCATTTTGATTCGTCGAAAGATATAGAGGACTTACTTTCATCTCCTCATTCAGCTTCGATTCTTGTTTATGTATGCTAAAAAGCCTTGCTTTAAGCATCAAAGGGATATAATTCGAACTTTGGTATTCGGAAGAAGTGCATGCAATCGGAAGATATTTTGCTGTAAATGCTGTAAGAACCTTTGAGAAGTAGTACCGTACGTAGCAAAATTGAGTTTGGACCTTCGGTAGCATCACCCAGGTGGTAGGATCAGATGTCAAAAAGAATTGTTCCTCGGTTTCGGAGGAGAATTCAGATATGGCATGGACTGGTGTTACCCCAGAGTGTGCATAATCATCCTTGTCGTACCCCAAAATCCCCAGAATTTGCCCCAATCAAATCGGGGCCAAAAAAATCATTCCCGCCTCTATGTATTTGGAGTGAGAGGAATACGAACTTGCTAGTTCTGGCCACATTTGCAATAGCTTGAATAGCAGGTGACGTTGGAGGGCTATTTCGGCAGTAGATGCTAGTCATATTGTTCCTGCATCACAGCAATTCGATTATCTGACGAATAGCCATACCAAATTACTGCGATACGTTGCGCGGGGTACTTGCGCTGGGTACAGGACACTTGCCACATCTTCAGTGTCCATGTTGGAAATATCCCTTGTCGCATAGCATATTCATGCTCGCTGAGAGCTTGAGCGTTCTCCGCACAAGTTGCCGGGTTTCTCCAAGCTGACTCGATACCTTGTTTGTTGCTCATTGCAACCATTGGCGGGTATTGGTACGAAAGAGGAAACGAGCTGTTGTTTGTCTCTCTTGGCTGGTCAACTCTTACAGAATGTGTGGAGTAATTAAACACTCATGGAATATTTTCCTAAATTGATCCTCGTATTGGTGTTGGTCACAGATATACTCGAGTATAAGTATGGCCATCTGCAACTCTGAGTAACTTACTTTCTCCACCCATCTCTCAACATCAAATATCAAGACTCTCTGTACATCAACAATCGTTCTTGTTGCCAATCACTCGTTTTAAGGCAATCCATATACTCAAACACCTTTCAAAATGCAATACACAGCCTTCGGACTCTTGGCCCTCGTCAGCTTGGCGATTGCTCAAGATAGTGCCATTCCATCTTGCGCACAACCTTGTATTGCTGCTGCCGTTACAAAAACCACCACTTGTGGAGCTTCTGATACTACTTGCCAGTGCAAGGCTGACAACGTCTCAAAGATTCAGAACGATGCTACAAGCTGTGTTATTGAGAAATGCGGCCTCACAGTCGCTCTGAGTAAGTAGCAACTTTGTACTTTCGAGTTGATCCCACTGACATATTTTTAGCCGTTCAATCTGCAGCTGCAGCAGCATGTGCCGCCCTTCCTGCCTCTTCATCCACTGCACCAACCTCCGTTAGTTCTGTCGCATCATCATCAGTCGTTGTATCCAGTAGCTCCGCAGTAGCTCCATCGTCTAGCACTGCTGCTTCTTCATCTGCCGCCGTTTCGTCTGCAGTCTCTTCCCCCGTCGCCACTCCCGTCTCTTCCCAAGTCCCAACCCCAATATCATCGTCGGCAGTCATCACACCAGTCACCTCGGGTGTATCTTCACCAACTGGTAGCAACGCTACCACACCGACCACACCAACCACATCTGTCGTTCCGTATACTGGTGCGGGAGCTCAAATTAAAGCTGGTCTAGGAAGTGTTCTTGTTCTTGGTGTTGGGGCTATCTTTGCCTTCTAAGTAACCGAACGAATCTTATGCATGATAAGGATGGGAATGTTGTAATGACAATGGAATTTTCAGGGGCGGTTTGAAGGTTCGAAAATGGAAATGGAAATACAAATGGAAATGAGATTCGAGTGTTTGACCGCTGGAAGTCTAAATAATTAATTCTTGACCCTTAATACTGTAATGGCTTACCATGTTAACTTCACCATGAAATGATCGCATCTGTGAACAGCTTTCTCGCGCCGTGTTGTACCGTGTTGCAGATGTGTGATGAAGTGAAGCAAGCCAAAAGTAGGAAAAGAAGTAAGTGAAATGCACGACTCTTCGAAACCAAGGAATTTCCAAGAGCTTTATACTCTTTTGCGTCGAAGTCCAGCCAGAAATCAATCACGCAAGAAACCATCTCGATGGCGATAATATCCCTTTTTTTCTCAAGGGGGACTAAGCCTTCGTGGTTTTTTTCATGGATTTCAAGGCAATTAGATCGACGGCATTGAAATTTTAATCTTTCTAATAGGAGCAATCGACATTGGCAATAACAATGTAGAAAAGTAGAAAACTTGGATGCTTTTGGGTGATACTAGATAAGAATCTTGGAGAGATAAGGTAAGACCGCGCTAGTCCCAATGAAGTCTTTGCAAGTTATATCCGTTTGCTACTCATCTCAGGGAGAGCTTGCTGATCGCCGTCAACAAACTCTTTTGGATTAATGCTCTCCTTCTTTCCGAACATGCTCTAGTGGGAAAAGACAACGTGTTGAACTTTTACAATGTCAAAGACTCTTTCAATAGAATCAATATCGAGCACCCTGATATGACTGACGATATGAAGACAAAGTTGGCCTCGCTAGGCTCACAACTCAAGTATGGCGATTTTATGACGTTGGTGACAAATATTGAGTTTGGTGATTGCGTGGTCCCAGGCGATGACAATCAACTGGGTCTTGTGCTCGAAGCTTGTGTTTTGGGGAAATAGTTTGTCACGAAGCTCAACTAAAGTGTATTGAAGAGCCTGATACAATCTCACCTCAAGTCGGCCGTTCTCTACATGCAAAGAAGAAGCGCACCTTTCATGTCCAAGTTGACATCGCCGATCTTCTATGGTGGATGATTGAAGAACGCCCCATGTTCCCAGTTAGCTGGCTCACATCCTGGCACTTCAGACATGAAGACTGCCCTTCTCAGCATCTTCTCCGAGTCAGTCTTGCACGTATACCTATCCCTATACGTGGAAGTCTGCGATCATGGTGAGATTCGTGATAAAACCACTGGTTGTTTTAGCAATCTTGATAATACAGGTATCACAATCAATTTAATTGAGAAGCTTATTGTGAATAACAGCGACACACATTCTTTCGACAAAGATCTTGAACTTTCGATAGTAGTTCTTAAGGCAGGACAGTACCGAAAATTCTCAAACTACTCGAGTATGATATTGACCATCACATAATGCTTACCACAATCAAACAATCTCAGTATATGCTCTTGACTAGGTCGCAAACTACTCGTCCAGGATTGGTTTCGTTATATCTGCCAATACAGTGATATTTGCACACTTCCTGGATAGATATATATAGATGCCAGAAAAAATTACTCGAGTAGTGGAGCACACATACAATGTATCAAATTTATTTCACCTATCATAAGCCCGAGACAAGAAAGAATTTCTCTCTTTGCTTTCTATTTCTTAGGTACTTAGATGTAGTGTAGTATATAAATTCTTCATCGACATGAAAATAGAGGAATAGAGCAAAGCAACCTAGAGATATTGGCTATATATGGTGTTTCGAGCACGTAGACTCTGTCCTGTCACCTGTCAAGTTACCACGTGTAAAGGGTCTGGATTCAGGAGTCAGGATCTGATGTGAATTATTGATATACGAGTAAAAAGTTCAAGCTCAATCGTGAGAAATGAAGACATGCAATGCATATCATATGAGAAACCACAGAAACGACAATAGGTATTCATCCATCTTCTTCGACATATTGAGAATTTAAGAAAGCACAACAAGCCTGACACAATTTCTATGACAATAACAATGTACCGCAAACCAAATATCCTCCTTTCGATAGTCAGTCTATCCAGGTATAGTCAAGTCAATAAGTAATCTTACAAAGAAATCCAGAAATTCTGAGTATGCCTCGCTTGGTTGAAATACCATTATTATACTCGTATGGTGCTTCACTTGCTTGCTTGCTTACTTGCTGGTCACTCCATAGCAAAGCGAAGCTGTAAATTTATATACCTACCCATGAAGAAGAGCATATATAGTCTATATATAGTACCTCCAATTCTCATATCAGGTAAATTGGTAGAATTATAACTAAATACCGTGACTTTGTAATGGGTGGGTTTGACTTTAGACTCTTCAGATATAAAGAAGGGAGAAATTAGAGATATCTAAAAACCTGGTAGAATTAACTAAAGGCAGACTTGGCTTCGGATCCCGGATACGATTGCTTTCTTGTGTACTTTGTATGATGAATGAGGGTATAAATGCTCCATTTGTTTGAAAACCTTTTTACGTTATAATTCATACTGCTATGTATGATTCATATTCTCAAGGATGCGGAAAGATAAGTAGCAAGGGGTTTCCAATATAAAGTCTAGGTAATATACAACTGATATAGATGATCTGTCACAACCGTTCTAATAATGAGAAGGGAAAGATTTGGTCATGACAATGATATGGAAGAGAAATAATAACCAGGAATATACATTGACAATCAAAGTTTCAGTTTAAGAATTATATTCAGCAATCGCACTTCCACCACACCTTTGTATTTCGAGACCACTTCTGGGGTAGCACTTGCAAACTCGAGAATCCTTTCTTGTTAAAGTTATAGCAGATATATTGATCTCTGAATATAAAATACAAACACTCGTTGCTTTTCATGCTTTATATACTCTTCTTTTCAAATGAACCACATCGTCTCCACATCGTCGATTTGTCTTCACCTCATCTATTTTCCCAAGATTCTGCAAGCAGCTAGCTTCATCATTGAAATATAAAATATCGTAATCTTACCTTCTCTTATGAATCAAGCTGATACTTTCCCTCTAACATACTTTCCCTCTAACCCTCTCCCTCTCGACACAAATTTTATGCCCTCTCTTTACCCTAGGTATTCCTCCTCTGAATCAAAAGCTCTGAGATGAATGAACCAGATAAAAAAAACTCGGAAGATATTCGAAGACTCGTGATATTGGATTGCTACTGCCACTGCGCGGATCCCAGGCATATTCATCATCATTCTGAAGCCTACTTTCTATCTACTGAATAGCGAAAATACTGACAAGATATCGATAGCTGGATAGCTAATAGCACAAATGAAAAAGTATTGGGCAACACTTGTTGTATCAACACAGAGTTCGAAGCTCGTAACATTTTCCTTTGTGTGGACCTACCTTTTTCCCTTGTTAGTAATCCCTATGCCTCCAATACAAGTAAGGCCGCCTGTACACACACGTCCTTCTCTGTCTTGATCTCAATAGCTTTAATCCTAAACCCCATCGACATCTAGTACTGTATGTGCCAAGTCCAGTCATCGAAACTATACTTTTTTTGTCTCATGTCGAACTTCCAATTCATTCCATTCAATTCCATCCCATCCCATCTCATCGCCACTAACCCTCAACGCCGCCCACTCCATCTCATCTATATCCATCAGTGCCTCAATAACCTACACCCCATTCAACGACCTCCAGAATCCAGATTAGTATTCCCTTCACCACCACATTTCCATATCTATTTCCATCCATCCATCCATCCATCGATCATTTCAACACTACCTGCCACACTACCTACCACACTACCCTCGGTATCCCCGAAACCTTCCTGGCCCAAGCATCGGCACTCTCAACCCTTTTCAATCTAGCTCTGTCTTATCTTAGCAACCTTACCCGCTTCCACATTCTCATTCTCATCTCATCTCATATCTTAGTCCGGGCTTTTAGTCCAAAGGTTAAATCTGGTTCGAAATTTAACCTCATGACAAGAATAGATAGAATGATACATCCAAGATGAGATGAGATGAGATGAAATAGATCCGATCCTAATCCTATCCTAATATCTCAAATTTAGGTTTTACATGGTTTTTTGCAGGGGATGGGATGAAATGGGATGATAGATGATATGGGATTGGGAGTTGAGAATCTTGAGATGAGATAAATGACGCAGGTACCCATTTATGTGCCAAGGAAAAGATACAGTATTGTAGATCTCGATGTTGTTTTTGTAAATCCTACCTACCTAGGTATTGTCATATTCTTCGAAAAAGCCCGAGGAGGGATGAATGAATAGAAAAATCATTTACTCGAGTAATAGCGTGTGTAGATATGAAACGAAAAGCTTATTTATATGGGATTCTATCAAATGTTTGAATCGAAAGGAAAACGTTTGAGACACATGGCATTTTGGTTTCATGGATGCCATGTCTATGATGAATGATGGTCTGATTTACTCAGTATATTAGACTGAGTTATATGAAGGAGATTGATAATCATATCAGATAGTCATCAAGATTTGTGATAGAGTCTGGAACATTATATGATTCGATCTGACTGCTTTAACAGATACCTAGGTAGACAAGAAGATGCCCAAAATTTCTTGTTATACATTCTAAAGATTGAGATATGAATTTCATAAAACATATATCCAATGTATACTGTAACCTTATACCGGTACATACAGCATTCATTAATACTTACTTTACTGTACTGAGTATTATGAAAAGAATCAAGAGAGAACTTACATTATAAACTTCCAAAAATAAACTTTTCATTCACAAGCATCTAGGATCTAATACTATCTTCGGTACTCATTGGTTATAAAAACCAAAAACCAAACACCAAAGTCCAGATGGAAATAGAACATCCATTATCCATGAATACGCATCCCATTCCTTGGCATTTTCATTTTTCAAAAAAAGTATCTTTTGGAACCTCGAACCTCGAACCTCGATCCTCGATCCTCGCCGAGTTGGTTGTGCCTCAACTCAAAATCCGCTTGG